AAAGCGTCCAGTAGGCAAGCCCCAGCTACGGTACAAAGACGTATGCAAAAGGGACCTGAAAGCCATGGACGTCGATCTTGCTATATGGGAGACACTGGCTGCAGACCGTTCAGCCTGGAGGCAGTCTGTTCAACGAGGTCTCTCCAAGTTCGAGGAGTCACTTGCCAAGGAATCGGAGGCAAAGAGACAGAGAAGGAAAGCCGGTAACCAGGAAGACAGACCAGAATCGGACTTCGTTTGTGCTCGGTGTGGGATGGACTGCCACTCTCGGATTGGCCTCATCAGTCACACCAGACGCTGCACCAGGATTGACAACTAGGGCGCAACTCCATAGTCTCCCGAGACTGAAGGATGCCTACTACTACTATATATATATATATATATATATATATATATATATATATATATATATATATATATATATATATATATATATATATATATATATATATATATTTCATTGAATATGACCGCAAATTCTGTATTTATTATTTTCTGGTTTAGGGCTTCTATCCCTCTAACTATTTTCTTAGCATCAGGGCTTAATTGGAATAGGAGTTCTCCAAAACTCATTTTCGTACTTTTAAGGTGAAGAAAAGAAGTGATTTACTATAGAGTGTATTACACTTATTTGTATAATTTGCACGACGTTTCGAACCTCCATGGTTCATTCTCAAGTGAACAATCTTACAATACTAGTTGATTTTATACCCGCATTAGGTCAGGTGATAATACAATGAAGGTGAAAAACATGGGGGGATACATAAGGGATAAACATAGGGGCTGCAGAAGGCTTATTGGCCCATACGAGGCATCTTCTATCTAAACACAAAGATTAATCCAGTGTAATTGGCCTGTTATGTTGGACATTGTCTTCTGTGTTGGCATCGATATGTTCTTGTCTTGTCCTTACTACACAGAAGAAGAAGACAATGTCCAACATAACAGGCCAATTACACTGGATTAATCTTTGTGTTTAGATAGGAGATGCCTCGTATGGGCCAATAAGCCTTCTGCAGCCCCTATGTTTATCCCTTATGTATCCCCGCATGTTTTTCACCGCATGTTGCATGTTAGAGGGATAGAAGCCCTAAACCAGAAAATAATAAATACAGAATATGCGGTCATATTCAATGAAACATGTTTGAAAGAAAACCTGCTGCCAGTATACACCAATATATATATATATATATATATATATATATATATATATATATATATATATATATATATATATATATATAGTTTTGATACTTTAGAAAGCTAATTTGTGGGTGGAACAATGTGATGTTGACTGATTGTTTGAGGGCCGAAGCTCGAATAAGCAAGACGAGTACAATATCGGGACGAACCACTGCTCTTCCATTTGAGTGGCTACAGAGCACATACTTGGCTCCAGGTATTTGTCGAGATGATGTGCTCGAATAAGCACTCCTCAAGCCCCTTGCGATATTTTGCTATTGATATCTCGTCCGCAGGACCAAATCAATACTCTTGTGTAATGACAACTTCAAGAAAATATTACAGGAGGCTGTGGCGATATGTGCAAGCAGAGTGTCTTCAGGCAGATAAATGCATTAGTGCTACATGTGTCATCCAACTCCCGGTCAGTTGTGTGGTTGGCCACGTAGACGTGTGTGAGAGAGAGACCACTGAGTTGGTCTCGAAATGAGCCTGTCACGTCATGTACAAGGCGTGTGCCCCCTCACCGGTCCTATGATCCATCATAGCCAATGAGAGGTGACCTGCGATATGTCAGCAATCAACGATCCCGTATATATATTTATTCACAGAATTTTCACTTACATGTTCTGAAGTTGTAGTTATAGCAATCCCCCCCCCTTCCCCCCGCCCACTGTGCTCTTTACTCTACTAGGCGTCATCATCTATGAGAGAGCCAAATCACTTGTTTGGTAGTGGTGATCTTGATGACCGAACTACACACCAGAAGGTGAAGAGACGACAAAGTTTCGGTCCGTCAAGGACCATTACCACAATGTACTTGATAATGGTCCTGGACGGACCGAAGCGTTGTCGCTTCACCATCTTCTGGTGTGTGGTTTGGTCATCATATCTTTCATTTGGTCATAATATACGTTCATTCTTATCAGGCCAAGCACAATACTTGCAAAATGTTATATGAATTGAACAGTATAATTACTCATCATTGATAATAGTTACTCATCTATTTGTTAATAATTACTCAGTAATTATGAGTAATCATTAGATGAGTAGTTACTAATTACTCAGTATAATTACTCATCTTATACAGTGTAACTCCACCAATGTAAGTGTTACTAATGTGACAAGCAAAAGAACAGATGGTTCTTTCGTGATGGTTTTGCATTGATGGATCAGCCCGTCCTCCTAATGGAACGTCGCATTTTGAAGTATACATTAGTCAAAAATCGTCTTACTCGAAAATGGTAGCGGCTCGCTAGATTGATGTACAGTCCCGCTTCCTGTTGTGGGGTCCTCTGGTAGGTTAGGATAAGGGCACTTTAGTACGGCAGTTTCTTGATGTTGGAAAACCTTAGGGGGACGGGCAGGCTAGACATAAGCCTTGAAAATACAATTTTGACTTGGCCTGTATTTGTGCATTGGCGTTGCAGAATTATATATAATCAGTTTTCCAACAAGGCTCTGCGATAAACAGAAAAATTTTATTTAGAGTAATATAACCAAATTCTAATTAGTTAAAAAGAGTGCTTAGAACCATCTACCCTCAGCTAGACGTGTCCCAGAGTGTACACCAACTTATAAGGAAAAACCCGCCCCACAAAATTAAATAAGAGGAAAGTGACTACTGTTACGGCCCTCTCGGGACGCAACGGGGTTCTTACTCTGATGTTGTTAGAGGAAGATATATATCCGACCCCAAGCCAGTAGAGGCTTTCAAGGGATGCGATCCGTGACGCAAGTAACTTAAAGGGTGAAGGGAAAGAAAGTTAAGAACTTAATATAATATAATGTCCGCCACCAATAAATAATATATAAAAAGGTTACACAGGGGGAGGGGTATTAACACTATACAAGGGGATTAAACTGTAGTCTTCTGCTGGAGACTATGGATCCTCGCTCTCTCTCGGTGCTGATTCCTCGGTGCTTTCTTCGTGGCCTCACAACGTGTCCTCTGAGAATGCCGAGCCTACCCTGGCTACAGGTCAGCCAAAACACAGGTCCACTGGGGGCACCGCCGTGGAGGCCGTCAACCACAAATCCAGCCGGTCTGCTTGCAGGTTCTGGACCCGCAACGCTGGTCAGGCCACTCCACGGACGATATTAGGGTAAACACCCTAGACAGGAGTCTCGTGTGATATCACCAATCACCCTCCTGTCCTCAATACCCCAGTGGATAATCGTCTCCAACAGTCGGTCCCGGGTAATCCTTTTACTGCCACTCCACTGGCAGGCTAACACACCACAGTGTTCTTCCGGGGGGACGACTTCACAACGGCTGCAACAAGGTACAAGGTATGGAGACTGGCTGCCTCAGGTAGACTGACTCCACTTCCATCACAGCAGTCCCAGGTCGACTCTGTAAGCAGACACGTCATCACTAACTGGGACACACTAAGGCACCTCACTTACAGGCTCAGACACAAACGCCCGACACATCCACTTCATAGATGGCGTTGTAGTCTGAGCACCACCTCACCAGAGGTCAGCAGCGGAGGTGTAGAGTGCTGAACGGGACTGGAAACTGGCCCTTGTGGCCAGTACACGCCATCCTCACCAGGTTTCGTCGTCCGATTGGAGGGGGTTTCGGGAGCTGACCCACAGATGGCGCGGTGGTCACTGCTCCGTGCTCGGACGCTGGATCCGGGTTCGTAACAACTACTTATCGATCTTTCCTGGACTTCATTCTGAAGTCATCAGGGAGCTTAACACTGTGTTAAAAGTCTATCTGTTATCGACGATTATTATTATCCAGTCATTTTATAAATACCGTATATTTTGTGTTGATGCTCATCTGATGATGTTTGCAATTTCAGCAACAAGTAAGTTTAATGCAGAAACGGGTAAGTGTAACTAATTGTAAGTTTACTTTCAAGTGATTACACACCGGATCCTAGAGTGCCCGGTGTAAATACCTGCTCCTGTATGGAGAACCGGATAACTGGTGTTACAATCTATCTATTAGACTGTGGACCTTCACTCAGGAGATCGCTGTGCTTCTTAAAAAACTGAGGACGCACAGAGTCTTACCACAATCAGGACTCACGTTTCATTCATTCCAGATATAGAGAATAGAATATTCTTTGTCTCCAGTGGCACAGAATATAATTCCAGATATTCTGGAATGATATTCCGAGCCACTGGAGACAACTGACAGCACGAGCGCACCACCACCATGCTAGTTCTGCCCGATTCGCACCTCACAAAAGCCTCAACAAAAGGCTATATGAGCACCACCTTGGCGGAAAAGCCTCTGGGTTAACTGGAGTGGCGGGTTAGGTGATGTGTGCGTCTGTCCATTACGGAGATGAGAAATTGTGGACCGCTTATTGGAAGGCAGCCACCCCCCGTGGCTGCCTTTTATTACCACACCTTTAACGCAGCAGCAGTTGCTCCTTTATGGCTCTTACTGGCAGGCTACCGTCCTGCGCTGCCTTTCAATATCTTATCATGCATGCAGCCACTCTCCCTTCTAATGACGAAATGGTTAGATTAAGCTGGTGGCATGATTCACTTCATCCCACCAGCTTAATTTAATGGACACACATACAGACATTTAAAGTATTTAAAGAAGACACACATGACTTCTGAGGAAGCGATGGTGGTAGAAAGCAGCCTTTAAGGTAATAATGGGGTCAGCCAGCCTTTGAGATAGTTATGAAGACTCTGATCAACCCTTCCTCCTTCCTTCCTTCCTTCATCTCTCTTCCAGCGTGTGATTGACCTCAATCTCAGTCTTTGAGTTTCTTCTCGTTGCTGTTGTAACTGAAGTTTGAGCCTCTCTCTCTTGATGCTGGGCCTTGAGCAAAGGGAGCAGCATAATGCTGCATCTTTTTCATCGCATAAGCTGCCTCTCGCTCTTCACGCTGAAGCTGTTCCTCTCACTCTTCACGCTGAAGCTGTGCCTCTCACTCTTCACGCTGAAGCTGTGCCTCTCACTCTTCACGCTGAAGCTGTGCCTCTCACTCTTCACGCTGAAGCTGTGCCTCTCACTCTTCACGCTGAAGCTGTTCCTCTCACTCTTCACGCTGAAGCTGTTCCTCTCACTCTTCACGCTGAAGCTGTGCCTCTCACTCTTCACGCTGAAGCTGTGCCTCTCACTCTTCACGCTGAAGCTGTGCCTCTCACTCTTCACGCTGAAGCTGTGCCTCTCACTCTTCACGCTGAAGCTGTGCCTCTCACTCTTCACGCTGACCGAGTGGCGAGTAGTGGTTGGCAACACACGCGGTCATTGACGGGTAGACGGGTATTTCTATACGTAAACTTAAAGCTATACCAGTCAGGGTGTGTGCAAAGTTGTTATAACTAACCTTGTCTCACGACGGTCTAAACCCAGCTCACGTTCCCTATTGGTGGGTACAAGCCGAGTTACGGCGAAACCGCGAATGGTTCATTAAATCAGCTATGTTTCATTGATCTGTAAACCCACTTACTTGGATAACTGTGGTAATTCTAGAGCTAACGGCCAATAAATCAACTGCTTCTAATTACTAACTTACTATCCCCCCCCCCTTGTGTGTGTCTTGTAAGTAAGTAAGTAGTAGTCTTTTTTTCAAGGATGCGAGTCTTATTTTCCTTGGCGTCACCCCTTTTATATAGGAACCATCGGACATGCATGGCCGTTCTTACTTGGTGGAGCGACTTGTTTGGTTAAAAATTGTGGTTTTTACATAAAAAATGTGTAAAAAACATTTTTACACAAGCATACACATTTTTACACAAGCATACACATTACACATTTTTATCACAGGCATACCCAAAATGGCCCACTAGATACTCAGATTAGTCGGCGAAGCTTCAGCGTCCAGGCAAGCTCGGCATCTCAGCCATTTAAAGTTTGATCCGTCAGTGGTCTCACCCAGAGACCACTGACGGATCCTAGCTCGCCTTGTGAGGCACAAAGCGCCGCTTTCGGCGCTCCACATTATTTGATCCTTGATTATGATCAGCGTCGTCGTCGCTCCGTACACGCGGGAGTCAATGACATGACGCACTAGGTGGAGGCAACCGGGTTAATTTCCTACTAACAACTGTTGTAGTGATATATAACCACACAAAACCAATATGGCAGCACCGCTATAATCTATACAATGATCACTGATGCACTTTCCAGCTTTCACTATCACTGATGACAATGATATTTCTTGATCACAAATGTCAGACTGACTTCAGTCCTCGTCTTACTGAACACACATCTTTGTGTGTTTAAGTCTGTTTAATATTATTATCTATATAACCTGAAACATTATTCTGGAAGTTCACATATAATGAATAAGCAGATGACAAGTTAACTCAACGGTGGAGAATATATTAGGATGATGATAATTGTTGGCAAAAAAATATCTATCTACATCTGGCTGTTATGAGCTCCTTGGATAGACTGTGCTGGCCGGGTATGTTGAGGCCTCATAGCACCCATGGTTAGGACTACGAATCTGACCAATGGGAAGGCAGGAGAAATATTCGCTTAAATACCATAAGTCTATGCAAATCTGATGTGAGGTGTGACATTATGAAGACATCACTACTCGCAGCCTCGACTGTAGCAACTGACTTGAGGTTCGCTCCTTTATCTAACCTTCAACCTACGGTTGCAATTGCACAGGTTGCAGCTATAATATGCAGACAAATAGAAGCACTGGCAGCAGCACAGGCAAGCAAGAAGACACAGACAGCGGCACATGCAGGCAAGAAGACACAGACAGCGACACATGCAGGCAAGAAGACACAGACAGTGACACATGCAGGCAAGAAGATACAGGCAGCGACTCAAGCAGGCAAGAAGAAACACAGGCAGCGAAACAAGCAGGCAAGAAGAGACACAGGCAGCGACTCAAGCAGGCAAGAAGAGACACAGGCAGCAACACAAGCAGGCAAGAAGAGACACAGGCAGCAACTCAAGCAGGCAAGAAGAGACACAGGCAGCAACTCAAGCAGGCAAGAAGAGACACAGGCAGCGACACAAGCAAGCAAGAAGAGACACAGGCAGCAACACAAGCAAGCAAGAAGAGACACAGGCAGCAACTCAAGCAGGCAAGAAGAGACACAGGCAGCAACTCAAGCAGGCAAGAAGAGACACAGGCAGCGACACAAGCAAGCAAGAAGAGACACAGGCAGCAACACAAGCAAGCAAGAAGAGACACAGGCAGCAACACAAGCAAGCAAGAAGAGACACAGGCAGCAACACAAGCAAGCAAGAAGAGACACAGGCAGCAACACAAGCAGGCAAGAAGAGACACAGGCAGCGACACAAGCAGGCAAGAAGAGACACAGGCAGCGACACAAGCAGGCAAGAAGAGACACAGGCAGCAACACATGCAGGCAAGAAGAGACACAGGCAGCAACACAAGCAGGCAAGAAGAGACACAGGCAGCAACACAAGCAGGCAAGAAGAGACACAGGCAGCGACACAAGCAGGCAAGAAGAGACACAGGCAGCAACACATGCAGGCAAGAAGAGACACAGGCAGCAACACAAGCAGGCAAGAAGAGACACAGGCAGCAACACAAGCAGGCAAGAAGAGACACAGGCAGCAACACAGGCAGGCAAGAAGAGACACAGGCAGCAACACATGCAGGCAAGAAGAGACACAGGCAGCAACTCAAGCAGGCAAGAAGAGACACAGGCAGCAACTCAAGCAGGCAAGAAGAGACACAGGCAGCAACTCAAGCAGGCAAGAAGAGACACAGGCAGCGACACAAGCAGGCAAGAAGAGACACAGGCAGCGACTCAAGCAGGCAAGAAGAGACACAGGCAGCAACACAAGCAGGCAAGAAGAGACACAGGCAGCAACACATGCAGGCTAGAAGAGACACAGGCAGCAACACATGCAGGCAAGAAGAGACACAGGCAGCAACACAAGCAGGCAAGAAGAGACACAGGCAGCAACACATGCAGGCAAGAAGAGACACAGGCAGCAACACAAGCAGGCAAGAAGAGACACAGGCAGCAACACATGCAGGCAAGAAGAGACACAGGCAGCAACACATGCAGGCAAGAAGAGACACAGGCAGCAACACAAGCAGGCAAGAAGAGACACAGGCAGCAACACATGCAGGCAAGAAGAGACACAGGCAGCAACACAAGCAGGCAAGAAGAGACACAGGCAGCAACACATGCAGGCAAGAAGAGACACAGGCAGCAACACATGCAGGCAAGAAGAGACACAGGCAGCAACACAAGCAGGCAAGAAGAGACACAGGCAGCAACACATGCAGGCAAGAAGAGACACAGGCAGCAACACATGCAGGCAAGAAGAGACACAGGCAGCAACACATGCAGGCAAGAAGAGACACAGGCAGCAACACAAGCAGGCAAGAAGAGACACAGGCAGCAACACAAGCAAGCAAGAAGAGACACAGGCAGCAACACATGCAGGCAAGAAGAGACACAGGCAGCAACACGTGCAGGCAAGAAGAGACACAGGCAGCGACACATGCAGGCAAGAAGAGACACAGGCAGCAACACATGCAGGCAAGAAGAGACACAGGCAGCAACACAAGCAGGCAAGAAGAGACACAGGCAGCAACACATGCAGGCAAGAAGAGACACAGGCAGCAACACATGCAGGCAAGAAGAGACACAGGCAGCAACACATGCAGGCAAGAAGAGACACAGGCAGCAACACAAGCAAGCAAGAAGAGACACAGGCAGCAACACATGCAGGCAAGAAGAGACACAGGCAGCAACACATGCAGGCAAGAAGAGACACAGGCAGCAACACAAGCAAGCAAGAAGAGACACAGGCAGCAACTCAAGCAGGCAAGAAGAGACACAGGCAGCAACACATGCAGGCAAGAAGAGACACAGGCAGCAACACATGCAGGCAAGAAGAGACACAGGCAGCAACACAAGCAAGCAAGAAGAGACACAGGCAGCAACACATGCAGGCAAGAAGAGACACAGGCAGCAACACATGCAGGCAAGAAGAGACACAGGCAGCAACACAAGCAAGCAAGAAGAGACACAGGCAGCAACACATGTGGGCAAGAAGAGACACAGGAACACTAACATGGGGGGGGGGGTGAAGGGGGTACAGAGGAAGACTCATGAAAGAAGGGGAAACAAAAATTTAAAGATGAAATGAAGTAAAAAGAAGTGAATAAGCTTAGTGGTTCGACCAATTATTTTTGTTATATATTTTTGGAAATTTATATGTTTAAGTATAAATTGTGGTCGTGATGTGGTAGTGTGTTGTTCCGGTCCTAAGTAACAAAGTAGCCAGTACCACGGAGCAACTTGGATCTACTTATAGCTACTATTTTCCACAATAAAATACATAGCCACTTTTTCATTGTGTAATCACTCATTTTTTGGTTATTAATTTTCCCGGAAGCCTATCAATGATGCAGACTATTCCTGATAAATTTAGATATGAGATTTATAAATAAATTACCAGAGCCCAGTAAATATATGCAACACGGAGTCCGGCCAGATCACAGGATCATCAACTGCACATTAGTGTTCACCGAGCTAATCTGTCCTCACACTTTATGTGTGATTACCCGACCTCTCACGGTGTTCAAGTGAGATGAACAGGTGATAAACACCGCCGAAGAATATGTGATCAATCATCCTGTGATTCATATGTCAGGATGCGAGCTGCAGCGTGTAACAGCCTGGTTGACCATACCACAAGGGAAGGTGGCCTCGGGGTAAAGTGACCGCAAACTTGACGATATTACTTACTGCGAAAGCAATTTGGCGCTTTAATATGAGAGGCACCGCGATGTTAACGCTTTTTCGGACAAATGTGTATGTGTGTGTGTGTGTGTGTGTGTGTGTGTGTGTGTGTGTGTGTGTGTGTGTGTGTGTGTGTGTGTGTGTGTGTGACTGAGAGAGAGAGAGAGAGACTGACAGACAGAAATGTACTAGATAGCATATAACAGTTCAAGAGTCAATACATCAGACAACCGGCGGATAGCACAACCCGTCTTCCTAAATAACGTCGTTTTTCGCTCGTATGCGCACTATGGCCTAAAATGAATGTAATGTGAAATGAAATTGGCTCACATTACATTCATTTTAGGCAAGGAGAGCCTCTTTTCATTTTAGGCAAGGAGAGCCGTTTTCTGAAGGTATCCTCCGGTTTACTCGGTAAAGTTAGGAGAGGAAACTTTCAATTAACTGTTTTCATGACGTTTTGAAACCTTAGGATAAATTCCTGCCCTCTTAACCTACCAGAGGACCTTTAACAAGTTGCTTTTGAAGAAAACCAATCCAAAATTTATTTTAAATTATTTTTCATTTTCAAATTACTTCCATTTTCGGCCATACGGGCAAACGGCCAAATTCAGACGTAATTGTTAAGAGGACAAGTTGGCTTGATGCTGGTTCCCAGAGCCAACAGTTCGATCCTTCAGGCTGAGATATAATCCACAAACACGGGAGACAAACAAAGCCGGAGCTCCAGGATACATTAAAGAGCTTGACTGTGAATTGCTTCAAGCACCATTAAACTCCATTACCAAGATCACAAGAAAACTGGTGTTTCCAAACATCATGAATGAGATGAGTGAATAGGCAACCCTTCCCCCCCCACCACCCACAAACAGTACAATAAAACATATCTACTGAAGCCCCAGTGAATACAACAAGAAAAATATCTACTAGGCACTCTAGCGGCCTCCTTATATAATGTCACTCAGACGCTGGTTTAGAGAACGTCGCTGTAAGGGATTATAGAAACGGCATTACTCTATATACATCTGAGGCTTTAAGAGCAGGAACAAACTCCACACACACACACACACACACACACACACACACACACACACACACACACACACACACACACACACACACACAGTACACCGCCTCATCATGGAGACCCCATCTGAAGAAGCATATAATGAAACTGGAAAAGGTTCAGAGGTTTGCAACGAGACTCGTCCCAGAACTACGAGGGATGGGATATGAGGAGCGCCTGAGGGAACTGTGCCTTACGACACTAGAAAGAAGAAGGGAGAGGGGGGGACATGATAGGAACGTACAAAATACTCAGAGGGATTGACAGAGTGGACATAGACGAAATGTTCACACGGAATAGTAACAGAACGAGGGGACATGGATGGAAGCTTGAAACTCAGATGAGTCCCAGAGATGTTAGGAAGTTTTCTTTTAGCGTGAGAGTAGTGGGAAAATGGAATGCACTTCAGGAACAGGTTGTCGAAGCAAATACTATTCATAATTTTAAAACCAGGTATGATAGGGAAATGGGACAGGAGTCATTGCTGTAAACAACCGATGCTCGAAAGGCGGGATCCAAGAGTCAATGCTCGATCCTGCAAGCACAAATAGGTGAGTACAAATAGGTGAGTACACACACACACACACTCAGGATTAGATGTAACAGAGCTAGGAACGATTGCATTAACATAAGACGAGTGTCGGAAAGAAATTATGAGAATGATATTGCAATCAAAGCGAAAAAGCATCCTAAATTACTACATAGCCATATAAGAAGGAAGATGTCGGTAAATGATCAAGTGACATGACTGAGGAAAACAGAAGGGGCATATACAGAAAGCGACAAGGAAATCTGTGAGGTACTGAATGCAAGTTTCCATGGAGTGTTCACAACCGAGCCTGAGTGGCTTCCATTGTTAGAAGAGATTACCCTAGATGGAAGGCTATCAGATATAGAGGTGTCAGCAGAGGAGGTAATGAAACAGTTGACAACACTGGATGCAACTAAAGCGGTTGGACCAGACAAAGTATCACCGTGGATACTAAAAGAGGCAGCACAGGCTCTTAGCGTGCCTCTGGCAATGATCTTTAATAAGTCACTTATGTCGGGAGAATTGCCCAGTTGCTAGAAGGAGGCAAATTTCGTACCGATTTTCAAGAAAGGTGATAGGGAGGAGGCACTTAACTACAGACCCGTATCACTGACAAGCATCCCCTACAAAATACTTGAAAGAATAATTAGGCTAAGACTTGTTGAGCACCTGGAGAGCATTGGGTTTGTAAACAAGCACCAACATGGGTTCTGGACAGGGAAATCATGCCTAACAAACCTTTTAGAATTCTATGACAAAGTAACAAGGATAAGGCAGGACAGAGAAGGCTGGGAAGACTGCATATTTCTGAACTTCCAAAAGGCCCTTAATACAGTACCGCACATGAGACTGCTTTACAAACTTGAGAGACAGGCAGGAATAAGCGGAAAGGCCCTAGCATGGGTGAGGAACTACGTAACAGGAAGAAGCCAAAGGGTAATGGTAAGGGGCGAGAAGTCGGACTGGCGAACAGTAACGAGTGGAGTACCTCAAGGATCGGTGCTGGGCCCAATCCTCTTTCTAATTTACGTAAATTATATGTTTACAGGAGTGGAATCATACATGTCAATATTTGTGGATGACGCAAAATTAATGAGAAGAGTTGTGACAGATGAAGATTGTAGGATCCTCCAAGAGGACTTAAACAGGTTGCAGAGATGGTCAGGGAAATGGCTACTGGAGTTCAACATCAGTAAATGTAAAGTTATGGAAATGGGATCAGGTGATAGACGACCAAAAGGACAGTACACAATGAAGGGGAACTGCCTACCTGTAACGATTCAAGAAAGAGACCTGGGAGTGGATGTGACACCGAATCTAACTCCTGAGGCAAATATACATAGGAAAACGACAGCAGCGTACTCTACACTGGCGAAAATTAGAATTTAATTCAGAAACCTAAGTGAGGAGGCTTTTAGGGCGCTTTAGACTGCCTACGTGAGACTAGTCTTAGAGTATGCCGCGCCATCATGGAGCCCCCACCTGAAGA